GTGTGTGTGTGTGTGTGTGTGAGAGAGAGAGAGAGAGAGAGAGAGAGAGAGAGGGAGGGAGGGAGGGAGGGAGAGAGAGAGAGAGAGAGAGAGAGAGAGAGAGAGAGAGAGATACACATACAGAAAGCAGAGTTTAACCTTGGGTACCAGTTGGCCGGTTGGCCTTAGGTGCCATCTACCCTGTTTTTTGAGTCAGGGACTCTCACTGGAAACTAGAGCTCAATGATTTAGCTAGGCTGGTTGGCCATCAACCACTAAGGCTATGACAGTGATGGGATTATAAATTTGAGCCATGAGGCCCCTTTTTCATGTGGGTGCTGGGAATTGAACTCAGGTCCTTATACTTACACAGTGAGTACTTTCCCAGCTAAACCTAGAGCTCTGTGATCAGTTGTATAGGGATTCCAAGCTCCACTCCCAGATTGTTTGTGGCCTTAGCCTAGGCACTTAAGGGCTCAGTCACCTCATCTGTACGAGGATAAAGAGTGCAGATTTGCAAAGTTGGTCGAGGTGAAGCCTGTGACACTTGGAGGCAGCAGCTCTGAACCATGGAGAAAGCTTATTGTCTTGGTCTCTCCATGCTAGACCTTGTACGCTCTGCCCAGCCCTCTGTCACCACTGGAAGGCACTTGGCTGTGTATACCACTTCCCTGTTGCTACATAATCACTGCTCCAGACCTAGAGGCTAAAAGCAACATACTTGTGTTCCCCAGCAGCCTGTGGTTCATAAATCACATGGTCTCCCGAGGGCTCCCCAGTCAAAATCAAAATGCCAGGCAGAGTTCTCCTTTCTCCGGGCAAGTTAGCTTCTAAACTCAGTGAGATTGTTGACAGAACTCAGTGCTGTGTTGTTGTAGAATCTGGATCCCCTAGCTGGAGTCAAGCAAGGCCATTTACAGCCCATAAAGGCCACCTGCATTCCTGGGCTTGTGCACTCTGAAAAAGTCTGCTCCTTGGCTCTGAGCTGTCTGGCTCATGTCCTATGCCATCCCTTCCTGACTGCTTTTCTTCACATAAGGTCTCGTGTGGCCTAGGCTGAGCTCTCGAACTGTCTATATAACTAAAGATGACCTTGTCCTTTTGATTCCCCTGCCTCTCGAGTGCTGAGGTTACACATATATACTAACATGTTCCTTTTCATATAGTGCTGGCAACTTTGGTTTGGGGATTTTGTTCGTTTTTCAAGTTAGGGTATCTCTGTGTAGCTCTGGCCATCTTGGAACTCAGTCTGTAGACCAGGCTGACCTTGAACTCAGAGATCCATCTGCCTCTGCCTCTGCCTCTGCCTCCTGAGTGCTAGGATTAAAAGCATGTGTCACCACCACCTGACTGGTGCATTTTAAGCAAATACTCTACCAGCTGAGTTATATCCCGAGTCTCTCCTCTCTGCTCCATTTTTCCTCCTCTTCTGACTTTCTCTTCCCTAATTTTCTACTTCGCTCTGGTTCCTTTTCCTGTAACAGTGCCCCAGACCTTAGGAGGTTCCAAGACTTAGCACAACCCCTGATGAAAGCACCGTTCAAGCCATAAAACTCAGCATGTAGACTAAAAGCACCACCTTCCAAAATGAAAACAAGGACCTAATCCATCAGAGTCCACAGTTCTGGAAAAATCTCTAAACCTTGCTTTTCAGTGTCTATAGCTCTGCTTCTAACTATTCTTTTTGTTGTTGTTGTTGTTGTTTGTTTTTTTGGTTTTTTGTTTGTTTTTATTTGTACTCTTTTTTTTTTTTTTTTCTTATTTTACATATGGATCCCAGTTCCCTCTCCCTCCCTCCCTTCCCTGGCTAACTATTGTTGTTAACTGAAGTATGTCAACTCAGAATATGGTTTTTGTGCTTAAAAGCTCACCCTGAGATAGGCTTGGGGCTTCACCAGGATCCCAACACTCAGTGTAGTTGCCAGCCTGCTAATAAAGATATTCTATTGACTTAAACTGATGTCTGAGCAGTCTTCTCTGTTGATAAAACATTTTACCTTTGAGAGTCCTATGGTTACAAGAATCCCAAGGTGACCCTGTTTTAAAGCAATGGACTTGGACTTAATCTCAGATGTAAAGCCCCTTCCCAGCAGTATTCAGAATGTTGACCACATAACCTGAAGAAAGGGACCTGCAGATTCTACTTAGTGTCTATCCCCACAAGTGACCAAATAGGTGTCCTCCACTCTCTACACCAGGGGGCCTCCACCCTCTGGATAAACTATAATCATTAAGTCATTAGACTAGCCCTGGGTCAATCCAGGGCTCTTAAGTCTTGCTTCTCTCCAGGTGGCCAGGGTGACAGAGGGATGAGGCAGTCCCAGCACACCTGCAGGATAGACATCTGCAATGTAAGACTCCTCCATCAGACCAGGGATTTATACTCCAAATAGTAGCCATGTAGGCTCACTTCAGAGACATTGTCCTCAGAGCATAGCTCACTTCCAGAAGGGCATCAACTCTATCAGAAGTACACGTGCAGGAGCTGGAGAGATGGTTCAGCAGGTAAAGCATTTGCTGCACAAGTGTGAGGACCAGAGGTTGGATCCCCAGAAGTCATAGCAACGCAGACAAGTATGGTGCCTTCTGTTTAATTGTAGCATTAAAGAGGTAGAGACCATAGCAAGCTGACTGACTAGAATAGATCAAATCTGATCAATAAATAAAGCAGGTTGATCAAGAAAGACACCTAGAGTCACCTTTGGGCCTCCATATGCATGTGCACACTCACACGCATGAAACACCTACACACACGTGTGCCCACACTTGAAAGTGCATGCATACATGCATGTACTTGGCTATATATCTATATATACATAAATGCAAGTGCTCTTCAACTCCATGGTTGAAAACACCATAAATACCATAAATCAATGGTGCATTTTAATTTATATCCAACCTACCAACCATCGCAGTTTAGTCCAGAGTACTGGAAATGTGTTCAAAAGGCCCACATTAGCTGTCAGTTGGGCAAGACCATTTGACATAAAGCCCACTACATAATAAAGACCAGGTCAGCTCATGCCATTTGCCTCATACATTTTGTTTCAGAATGCCAGCTGCTTCCCTTCAATAGTTCTCAGCTGACAGGAGCTGCAGGTAACTGAAGCTGCTGGCCTGGAAAGAGCTCAAAATTGAAAATTAAATCATGCTTTCACCTGCATATTGTCTTCACAGAATCATCAAATCAGAAATTCTAAAATGGGAGCCCTTTGCATAGTATCTGTTCTTGGAGCCATGTTCCAGGGCCTGTCATAACTGATAAGTAATTCACATGTAGATTCAATGTCCAACCTGCTGTCCAGACCATGCCTTTGTCTGGTGGCTCCTGGATTGGTTTGGTTATTTGGTTATTTATGGTGTGTGTGTGTGTGTGTGTGTGTGTGTGTGTGTGTGTGTGTGAAGGTATGGAAATCAGGATTCACTAGACACAGAATAAATGAAGTGAAGTTTATTTGGGGAAAAGAACTCACACAGAAAACAAGTGACTGTCGCTATACTCCTGCTCCAAGGATGCAGACCCTGCCACCCCGATGCTCTCTGCCACCCAAAGGTCCTCCCAAGCCCTGGTCTTTTCCCTTTAACCGATCACGTCCTTATATTGCTACGTGTGTGTTGGTTTCTAGCAATACTAGACACTGAACCTAGATCCTCATGCAGCTTGGGCCATACTCACTGGGTTACAACCTTAGCCCTGAGGCTCCTTAGAGTCCTGAGAACTGATCAGACACACTAAACCAATGGTTTACAACCTTCCTAATGCTTCATGATCCTTTAATACAGTTTTTCATGTTGTGGTGACCCCCATCCATAAAATTATTTTCATTGTTGCATTATAACTGTAATTGTACTACTGTTATGAATCATAATGTAAATATATATGTTTTTTTGATGGTCATAGGCAGTCCCTGTGAAAGGGTCGTTTTGACCTCCAAAAAGGGTCACACAACCCACAGGTTGAGAATCACTGCACTAGACCAAATCTTAAAAGCAAACTCCGGGAATCTGTTCCCCTGGAACCTGAAAGGCAGATTCTGACAAAAGAAGTTCAGGAGAGGAAGGCCATTTAGCCTTCATCGAAATGCCATGAGCTGCCTAGGGATATTTGTTAAGGAGGCTGAAGCAAGACGATTACAAATTCAAGGACAACCTGGTCTACGTGGGAAATGGTAAGACGGACTCGCCTCAGAGGCAATCCGTATTAATGCTACAAAGCCCTGCAGTGGTGGTGCTGGCCTTTAATCCCAGCACTCAGGAGGCAAAGGTGTGTGGCTCTCTGTGAGTTTCAGGCCAGCCTGGTCTACAGAGTGAGTTGTAGGACAGCAAGGGCTACACAGAGAAACCCTGTCTTGAAAAACAAAAACAAACAAAAAAAAAGTGTAGCCTCGGTGGGCTCAGAGCCCCTAAGGGAAAAACTGGCATCATCCATTCCTAAGAGCTCGGTCCCCAATTTGTAAAACAGGAAGTAAAACAACAACAACAAAAACACAGCTGTCACTAGGCAGGGTGGTGACACAAGTGGAACAACCTGGCTTCCATGGGTGCCAGGCCTGGTGTTACGGTGGCTGAATTCCCTTTTCTCCTTCAGAGGGACCCTGGCAAGGGCTCCTTAGTTCAAGATGTGTTTTGTCTATTTATTTCCTATGAGGACCTTAAATGTATCCATTTCCTCCTTACGACTTGCAAAATAAAATGGCCAAGTAGGTAGGCACAGTGCGACTTCCTCAGAACAAACCCAAAAGCCTATTGGGACCAGTCAGGACAGTCCTCTTGTTCCTTTATTCCTGGGAAAGGCCAGCCAGGGAGCTGAAATCCCCCCCCCCCCCCATGGAGAAGAGGTTTCCGGAGTTGGGGACAGACGAGGGACTGGGCATCAGGCCCTGCGCCCTTCCATTTGATGGGGACCAGCCATCAGGGCCTGGTCCTGAGCCCTTGCTTCCCAGGAAAAAGAGTGCGGTGGAGGGAGGGGCGGGGGAGGGATCAGTCGCCAAGGCGGAGGCTAGCGTCGCCCCACCTCCCTCCCGCCGACTGGGCTCCTCGGGCGCTCCACCGCACCTGGCATTGAGCGCCGCGATGTGGGCCGCGCTGCCGCTGCTGTGCACCGGGACCTGGCTGCTGAGTGTCCGGGCCACCGCCGAGCTGTCCGTGAACGCCATAGGTACGTGGGACAAAGCGGGGCGCAGGGCTCCCGGGCACCGGAGGGGGGACAGGGAGCCCCGGGGTGCTCTCGGGGAACCCGTGGTCCTAGGGACAGGCCCGAGGGTGCCCAGAGTCCCTCTTGTCCAGGCCTAGATACAGAAGCCCTCAGCTCTTTCTGCCCTCCACCTGGGACAGCTGGGGACGCAGAACTTTCTTGTCCTGCCATGCAGCAGGATGTGCCAGCCTGCTGTAACTCTCCCGGGGATCTCCCTGCCTTGGTTGTTAGTCCGTCTGTGGCACTGGGGCAAACTTCCTGCCATGTTCCAGCAGCAGTTTTAACCCTAGTGCGTGTGGTGTGCGGGAAGAGCTGGATTAGTAAAGCAGCAGCCCTTACTTGGCAAAGTACAATAGAAGACTAGCTAGTAACTATTTCAGTTCTGTACATCGTTGGTCTCCTTAGCAACTCCTAAATGCCTGCTTGTGGGACAAAAGAAGCCACAGGTAACTTGTTCTATTAGATGTTTATTTATGGACAGTGAAGTTAGAAGTTAAATGATTTTCAGGTGCAGCTGTTCTTGCAAACACACACACACACACACACACACACACTTGTGCGCTTTTGCTTGCCAACCATTTTTAAGTGTAAAGAGCCCTTCAATCAAAGTCAGGACTCAAGGGCAGTGTGTGGGCTGTGGTTTTCTAGTCCTGCTGTCGGTCTTTCGGCAGGACTGTATTTTCTTTTTGTTAAAGATTTTATTAGCATATATTAATTAAACATAATGATGGGTTTCATTTTTATATTTTCATGCATGTATTTAACATACTCTGATCATATTTCAGCGGTCATAACCCTCTGTTTCCCCCCTCCCACTTCCACTTTCTTCCTCTTCCCAGCTTGTCCCTTTTCTTTCCTCTTTCCTGCCTCCCTCTCCCTCCTTCCCTCCTCCCTTACTCCCTCCCCTCCCCCACCTTTTGTGACCCTATGGATTTTATTAGGGTTATTTACAAAAACGAAACAGAAACAGGCACCTTATCAGAAGCTATAGCCCTAAAGAAAATGTATCTTCCCTCCCCCAGTAACTATAATTGCCTGGGGATGGGACCTTGTGATTTACCCTCCATCAATTTTTGGTTTTATTCATTCTGCTTCTAACTCACTATGTAGCCAAGAATGAGCTTGAACTCCTGACCTTCTTGCCTCTCTCCCCCAAGTATGTGTTTAAAGGCATGTGCCATGCCCTAGTCAGAAAAACAGTTCCTTTACAGAGAGAGCTCAGTGGGGAAAGCACTTGGTTTACAAGCCTGAGAGCTTGGTGTACAAGTTCTGATCCCAGGAACTATGTAAAATTCGGTCAGACTCAGAAGCCACCTGTAATGGCAGCACTCAGGGGGAAGTGATAGGGGTAAGCATGCTAGCTAGATTACTGTGAGCTCTGGGTTCAGTTAAAGATCCCTGCCTCAGTAAAGTGGAGAGTAATAGAGGGAAACCTGACATATCGGAGCACACACAGTTGCACCCACATACTGCACACACTCTGTATACACATACACATGTAAAATAATAATAATAATAATAATAAAATGATGGATCTGAGATTCCCCTAAAGTCATCCGTGTTTTTATCCACCCTATCTATGAGAAATTTTCCCCTTGTTGGTTTGGAAACCCCCCAAGAGGCACAGCCATAAACTTCGGCCAGCTGCAGAGCCTGGTCTGGGCTAAGGTTTGTCTTCTCTGAAGGATTTAGCCACAGCAGGCCCTTAACCAGGGTGTGGAATCCCCTGGGCCCTGAGCCCTGTCTTGAAGAACTAGGCTTTTTCTTCCCAAGAGAAAGGGCCCTGGCTTAGCTGCTAGAGCAGGTCTGGGGCTTGTGTATGAAGATGTACTGCCACGTAACAATAACCTTCATATTGTTGCGCTGGCATGGGTCCTGGGGATCCCTGGGGCAACATGGAGCCACTCCAAATGGTCCAGATACAGATGGTGTCATAAAAATGAGTCTAGACCATTTACTTCAAAACTGCCCATTTGACCGGGTGTTGAGATACATGCCTATAATCCCGGCACTCACAGAGCCAAAGCATGAAGATTGTTGAGTTCAAGGCTAACCTGGTCCATACAGCCAGACACTGCTCTAAACACATTACAAAAGATATATTTCCATTCAAGTTTTACTTTCCTAGGTTTCACAATGACTTTCCATAGTGTAAAATACGATTGGAAAAAATTAGTCAAGGTTTTCATAATAGTTGAGATTATTGCTCAATCTAGGATAATTTTTTCTTTTTTTTTTCTTTTATTTGTTTTTTTTTTTTTTTTTTTTTTTTTTTTTTTTTGTTTTTTGATACTGGGTTTCTCTGTAACTTTGGAGGCTGTCCTGAAACTAACTCTGTAGACCAGGCTGGCCTCAAACTCATAGAGATCTGCCTGTCTCCCGAGCGTTGGGATTAAAGGCATGCACCACCATCGCCTGGCTAGAATAAAATGTTAATGTTTAGGAAGCAAAATAATTTTAATTAATGTTTTGTTGTTGCAAAAAAGGATATAGGGTGATTTAATATACATGCTCTCACTTAGGCTAAAATTCTGTGGGACAAAAAGATTGGTGTTGCTGTTGCTGGTGGTGTTTTGAGGCAGGGTCTTTTATGTAGCCCAGGCTTTGCTTGAACTCCTCCACATCCTTCTTCCTCAGCTTCCCAGGTGCTAAAATTAGCAGGCTTGTGCCTACTTGACCAGCAAGTTATCCAACACTGTTTGTATGGTGAACAATATGTGCATGTATTATGTATGTTCTCATGTGTGGGCACACATGTGAATAGGTGTGTGTGGAGAGCCAAGGTTAATATCAGGAATCTTCCTTGTTGTTCTTCTACCTTATTCATTGAGGCAGGATCTACCAATCAAACTAATTTGGCTAGTGTTACTGGACAAACTCTGGGCATACCCCCTCTGTGACCCCAGGCTAGAATTACAGGTTAACTTCCATGCCCCACTGACATTTAGTAGGCTCTAGGGAGTCCTCTTTCTTTCATGACCAGTGTCCTAACTGCTCAGCCAGCTCCCTAGCCAAGTGGTCTCATTTTCAAATGTCAACATTTAACATAAGGGGCCAGTGAGATGTTTCAAAGAGTCAAGATGCTTGCTACCAGCCCTAACACCTTGAGTTCAATTCCCAGAATCCACATGGCAAGAACATGCTTCTAAACATCGTCCTCTGACCACTACAATAATACCATGGTATGTTCATGTACACATATCTACACACTGATAAAATAAAAATAAAAAATTTAAAGCTGAGCATTGGTGGTACATGCCTTTAATCCCACTGCTCAGGAGGCAGAGGCAGGTGTATCTCTGTGAGTTCTAGGCCAGCCTGGTCTACAGATTGAGGTCCAGGACAGCCTCCAAAACAATACAGAGAAACTCTGACTTGAAAAACCAACAAAACAAAACAAAACAAAATTGAACATTTATAATTCATTAGAATACATCTTTTACAGCTTTTTAAATTTAAAATGGAAATTTTAAATCATGTACAATAAAATATTCCCAGAACCTCAAAAATTCTATTCCTGGGTAGACATGAAAAAAAAAAATCTAAGTCGGAGCAGTGGTGGTGTACATCTTTAAGCTCAATACTCAGAAGGCAGAGGCAGGTGGATCTCTGTAAGTTTGAGGCCAGCCTGGTCTACAGAGTGAGTTCCAGGACAACCAGTACTGTTACATAGAGACTCTGTCTTGAAAAGCACCCACCCACACACACACAAGAAAAAGGAAACAAAGGAAGAAAAGAAAAGAAAAGCATCTACTCACCCCTGATAGGGAAACAATGACAGGCCAAAGTAAGAATGCCACCAAAGTCCAACTTGATAAAGGAGTAAATTTTACTGGGATTACTTCCTGGATTTTAGGTGAGGGGTCACTTACAGAAATAGAAATAACTCAAAGACAGTCCCTCCTCCATCCTCCTCACGGGAGAGAAGCTCAAGTAGCAGGGTGCCTGAACTCTGCTTCTCCAGACAGTTACCACCAGCCTGGAGACCTAAGCTCCTTGGGCCCCACATGATGGAAGGAAAGAACCAACTCCCAAAAGCTGTCTTCTTATGTGTACACACAAACACACCACAATAAGCATCATTAAAGTTTTTAGTGTTACCACTGGTTGGGGTGCTCAGTGTGCAAAGTGCTTGTGACACAAGTTTGAGGACCTGAACCCTAGCACCCACATTAAAAAGCCAGCTGTAGGGGCACACACTTGGAACCCCAGTGCTGGGAGACAGGGTCAGAAGGACCCCAGTGCTTTCTGGCCAGCCAGTATAGCCAAATGGCTGAGCTGCAGGTTCTTCCAAACACTCTATCTGAAGAAATAAGGAAGAGAGAGCTAGAGGATGACCTCGGAAGGCAACTTGGGGCCTTCACACGTGAACACATGGGTGCATACCTCCCCCATGTACTGCATACAAATAGCAGTTTCTTAAAATGTCTGTGGTTTGAGTTCCTTTTTATACTCAAGCATTAGCTAACCTACATCAACCAAACCTCTTCTTTGGTATTTTGCAAATGCAAATCAGCTGGGTCTGGTGGCATACACCTTTAATTCCAGCACTCTGAGGTAGAGGCCATAGAGTTGGGCCAAGGCTACATAGTGAGACCCTGCTTCAAATAATAATAATATAAAAAATAAAAATAAATAAAATACCCTCAGCTCTTCTGTGTCCTACTTAGCTGTAGATTCAACATGATCATGAGACACTTGCAGACCTAATTCTTTTTTTTTCTCTTTTACAGAAAAGTTTCACTTCAAGTCATGGATGACACAGGTCAGTGACCAACTTCTCCTTTTGAAGTTTCTCTTGTCAGAAAACTCCCTGTTAGCAAACTGAATTGTATCAGATTTGAGGCACAAAGAGGAATTTTCCAACCTTGCTCTGCCCTGGGTCCTTCCATGCTCCACCCTTACCAAACTCCAAGGAGGATACAGTGAAGTAAACTTCCCAATGATGCCGCCCAGTGATGAGCCTGGCAAAAGCCTTTCATGCCTTCCCTTCATTGTTGGCGTTTGGATCACTTTGCATAGTGACTGCAGAATCTTCTGGGAACAGCAGTATGTACCGTTTAGAAAATGGTGGGCTCTGCCGTACACTTGGCTCCACAATGAGGCACAGTGTCCATAGGTCACCTGCGCTTGGCAGGCGTCCTCAGTGGGGTCTCCTGAATGTTTAACTGAAGTCCTAACAGGTGCATGGTCTTCACTCTAGCCACAGGTCCCTGGAGGTCAACGATAGCTTTGTCATTTCCTGATATTGGCAGTAGAGAACAAGAATAGAGTCTCATCTAACTGTAGGTCTGTCCTGAAAAAGTGGCAGAATAAAAACTTCCATGGTAGCATGCTTGCCTCGAACTCTGCATTGATCCCCAGCACTGTGTAACCCAGGCATGGTAACATATGCCTGTAATGGAGGAGGTAGGATAGGAAGTTTAGATGTTCATGATCATCTTGTCTAGGGACAATAGACCAGCCTACATACATGATACCATGGAGGATTCTTGGGCAGTAGGGGATCTCTAAAAAGACTCCCTCGTAAGCTTCACCTATTCTGATGATTTGCTGCTGGCGTGTTTTGTTTTAGCACCAAAAGACATACAGCTCATTGGAATACAACTACAGACTGCAGACGTTTGCCAACAACTTGAAGAAGATTCATGCCCACAACCAGAGGAACCACACATTTAAAAGTACTGGGGAGCCCCTTTCCCCTCAGACCTCTGGGAGAAAGAGGGTGGGAACATCTCAGGTCTGGGAAGAAAACAATTAGTGGCATAGGCTGGTTAAAGGGTCTGCTCAGGGCTAATGGGCACAGAGCAGAGACTCAGACTCTGAGGATTTCTTTGACGAAGCTCAGGTAATAGCTCTACAAAGAATATAAATTTAGACAGCACTGGTAATTCTCTGTGGAACTCAGGAAGTTTACAAAAGATTCTAGAAGAGCCCTACCCCTCCAGCCCCCTGCTGGCCATCTGAGGGTACAATACACACAACCTAGATCTGTTTGGGTTTCTGTGAGACCTCGACTCAGACTGCTCTAAGTCCATGAGCAGTCTCTGGAGGCACGCAGCTTCACTCTGGGTGAGAGTCACTAGAAAGAAGCACGTCTAGCATGATCACAGTAGTTGCTGAACTGAAAGACAGACATTCAGTCCATTTCTGCCTGGTGCTAGCATTTGACCTTGGAGCAGGGGCTGACTTATAGTGGAACTGGCTGGGTTGCGGTGAAGAATGGATGTGGTGTGGGTGGGAAGACACCTGTGCTCTTTACCTGGTGTTCATCAGTCTCACAGTAGGAATCTGAAACAGTGGGTGCCTGCGCCGCACCCCAGATCTATCTACAGCACCCACAGGCTCTGGGGTGCCTCTGTCTGCCTGAGCAGCTCCGAGGCACAGTAGCAGATGACCTTTGCCATACTGAATCATATGAAATACAGAATTTTACAGGAGCCAAGTTGTAGGGGCTATAAATGGAACAGGAGTAAACAAGGGCTCTTGGATTTTTGTCTGTTTGTTATCAATTAACTGTGGCCTCTGTTTCATGTAGTTCTGCTTGGTTTGTTTTCCCTTTTCTTTTTCAGTGGGATTGAACCAGTTTTCAGACATGAGCTTTGCTGAAATAAAACGCAAATACCTCTGGTCAGAGCCTCAGGTTGGTGTAGTTCATTGTAAATACATCAGGATCTTTTCACCAAAATCTGTGAAATAAGCATTAAACCTACTGTGTTTCCAGCTAGATTCAGTCCTATCCCCAGCCATGCCTAGGGTGTCCTGGAATTCTTGGAGAGGCCAGGAGGATCCATCTCTCTGCGGTCCCTTACTTAGTGCAGGGCTCTGGCCTTAACAATAGGAAACCGTGATCTATAAATAGCAGATAAAATACAGGTGCCCAGTTAAAGGGGAATTTTAGGTTGACTTTTTTTTTTTTTTTTTTTTTTTTTTTTTTTTTGAGATAGTGTTTCTTGTAGACTAGGTTGGCTTAGATCTTGCTCTGTAACCAAGGCTTGAACTCCTGATCCTCCCACATCTATTTCAGAAGTGCTGGGATTATGGATGTGTGCCCACACTCATAGTTGCAATTCTAATTCTCTTTTGTATGTGTGTGTGAATGTGTGCTTGGATGTATGTGGTATATGCATGTGTGTGGTATACATGTATGGTGTGCATATGTGTGTGTTGAATGAAAAAAAAAGTAAAAAGGAAGGACATGACTGCTTCTAGGTTTGCTAGAGCAGGAAGTCTATTGCAGATAAAAAGGAAAGTATAGGGCTGGAGCTCAGTGGAAGAAGAGAGGGGACCCAGTGCAGCAGTCAAGAGGGCAAAAGAGAGGGCGGGGATCCAAAATGACTGGGTTGTACGGGGCAGAGACTCTGGGGGAAGGGTAGCCCAACCCCTGGGCTGGAAAGTGTGGGGTTGAGGGCAGGGAATGCCAGCCATAGGCTGTAACAAGTAGGGACTGAGGGATGCTGGGACAACCTGGAAGCCAGGTCCACTTTCATACGTTTGTCCCAGGGTTTGAGACTTAGTGTGTAGTGGACGCGTGTGTGTGGTGTATGTGTATGATATGTGTGTGTGTGGTTTATTCCTATGTGTAGTGTATATGGTGGATATGTGTGCGAGTATACTTGCCTACACATAGACATGTACACATGAGGAGGCCGCAGTTTAGCAGCCCTATTTTTTTTTTCTAATGCCCTCCACCTTATTTTTTAAAACTTTTTTTTATGTATTTAGGTGTGTGTGTGTGTGTGTGTGTGTGTTATCTATGTGGGTGCCCATGGAGGTCAGAAGACAGTATTGGATCCCCTGAAGTTGAAGTTCTAGTTGTAAGCCACCTGATGTGGTGCTGGGAACCAAACCAGGGTCTTCTGGAAGAACAGCAAGTGTCCTTACCTGCTCAATGCTAAACCATCTCTCCAGTCCCTTCACCATTTTTTTTTTCCAGACAAGATCTCATTATGTAGTCCAGGTGAGCCTTGAACTCACAGAAACCCACTTGCCTCTGCCTCCTGAGTACAGGATTAAAGGCATGTGCCACCACGCTCAAGCTTCTTTCTACCTTAACCTGGAGCTCATCCATTGCCTAGACCCACCCCCACCCCCAGTACTGTGGTTACAAAGTCATACAGAGTGAGGACTCAGGTCCTCATTTGCACACAACAGGCACTTTACCCACTGAGCCATCTCCCCAGACCTCTCACTCACTTTTAACGATTCCATTGTAATTATACTCTCCTTGAAAATAACGTATTTGCTTGTTTCAGAATTGTTCAGCCACCAAAGGTAACTACCTCCACGGTTCTGGCCCCTACCCTCCCTCCATTGACTGGCGGAAGAAAGGGAATTTTGTCTCACCAGTGAAGAATCAGGTATGCATGGCAGGCCCCACATTCTCCCTCCAGAACATACATGTTGTCAGGCATCACTTTAGGATGGAGAACTCGGGTGCTCACAGCACCTTTGCAAGCATACACCTCCTTCTGCCTTTTCCCTTCATCTCTCTAGTCCCCCGCCCTCTCCTCTGCAAGCCTCTGGATGTCACTGCTTTAAGATTTGGCAGCTCTGAAGGATGAAAATGGCCCTCTATAAGGCTAAAGTCCCCCCTCCTTCTTGCTCTGACACCATCCCAAATCCTCCTATGACTTCCAGCTCTATTCTGCTGAGATGCTCAAGCACCCAACACCAGGACCCTTCCTGTCCGGAATGTATCTTTTCCTCCCATCTCTCACACACTCCTCAGGGCACCAGGCTGCAGGCTCCCTCCTGGCTGGCTGCCTGCCTTTGTGGAGTGGTCCCAAGTGGGTAGTGGTGAATGACTGAGCCAGGCTTTCTCATGTGCATGCCCTGGGCATACATACCGTGTGTGGGGGGGGTCTTTAATAAGAGAACTCTCTGCAGGGCATAGTAGACTTGGCCAGGTGCCTACCTTTTCCCCAAGTGCTGGGAAATTTAGTGCCTACTCCTCTAAAGACTAAACCCCATGTCCTACTGTTCCTGCTGTATTCTGCTCCCCACTCCCCTCAAAATGGCACCACAGCAGAATTCTCAAAGATGCTGACCTCTCCATTCCAGGAAACCGAGGTTAAGGTTGCCTTCCAAGAAACTCTTGGCTTTATTCTGAAACTATGCACAAGAAGTCTAGCTTTTTCACAAGAGCAATGTGGTGCAAAAGGCATATGGCGCAGCCTCTTTGCAGGCTCACCACAGCCTAGAGCCTGCCAGGCTCACTGGATGTGTGGATCACATTCCAAGGGAACGAAACAAGCTTCTGCCCCAGCAGGGAATGTGAAGAGCAATAGGGCCCCAAAGGCAGTGTGCAAGTACTGTAGACTCTCACAGCAGGTCAAAGCATGGAAGCCTAAGCCTGCTCACTGGACAAGTGGGAAGCGGGTGGTTCCGAATTCTGTTATTGGGAACCTAGGTCACCAGTCAGGACTGACCACCTTGAATAGGAACCAGGCCATTACTCAGGGGTGCATATGGCATCTTACAGTGACTACTCTATGGTGAGTCAGTGGCCATCGTACCCCATATTAGCTCTGAAGGCTCCCCTAAGCTGATGTAACTGCACAGAAGGAGAATGTGAGTAACCAGCCAAGATCCACGATAAACAAGAGGGGACACAAACAAGACCTGCCCCAGGTCTCTGCTAGAGGAAGTACCATTCTCTTACAAGCCCCACTGCAGCAGGAGGATCTCGGATTCAAGGGTAGTCTTATCTATGTGCCGAGACCCTGTCTCAGAAAACCAAAGCAAACTAAACCAAAAACCCAGGTCCTGTCCCAGGCAAGTACCAGTTCTGCCTCCTCCCACGGTGCCTGCAGTCGCCTCCATTGTGGCTAAGTTGTCCTCTTTGACCAGATCTTCCTTCTCCAAAGGGAAGGCTTCAAGAGGGAAGATGAGGGGAAATTTGGCTTTGAGGAAGGAATTTAAGAGATATTTTAAAAGTGGAATGTGGAAGACAAAAACCAGCAAGGAGACAAGGGTGAGTCTGACAGACTCACAACAGCAACAGATATTATGGTGCCCGGCGACTGATTGATAGGCGTGGTCTTGTGCTAATCTTCTACAGCTAGATTTCCGGGGACACTGCTGCCCAGATCACATGCTAGTACATGAAAGAATGAGGGTTTAGACTGGCAGACTGGGTCCAGTACCAGACTCCTAATCTGACCTAACCTTCTAAAGGTGTCGTGAACTAGGAACTTGGCAGCAGCAAGGGCATTGGTTGCAATGAGATTAGCAGAAAGGTGAGACAGAAGGTTCTAGAAAGAACTTTGCTGAGTCCTGTAGGAAAAAAGTAGAGAAGCTGGGTGGTGGTACACACCTTTAATCCAAGCACTCTTGGAGGAAGAGTCCAGGTTCGAGAGCAGCCTGGTCTACAGAGCAAATTCTGGACAGCCAGGGCTGTTATATAGAGAAACCTTGTCTCAGGGAGAAAAAAAAAAAAAAAATAGGGAACGGGATCCAACAAAGAACTCAAGGTAAGAGAGTCCATAGACTAAGCTCAGGAGATGTTTGTGACTCTAGCAAAGTAGGGGAATTGTTCAGGAGGCCAAATTGAGAGTCCATTGGGCTGGTCAGACTGCTCCTCGGGAGCCTTGGTTGCTGCATCATGGAGGATGCCAGCTCAGGAACATGTGCAGGGCAGCATGGTCAGAACTGCTAATGGGCTTGTAAAGGGCAAAGGCATTCAGGGACCACGATTCCCACACTGGTGAGTGGAGCTGTGTCACGAGGGTACATTCATTGACTCCCCCTGCCCACATGTGTTTTCTAGGGATCCTGTGGCAGCTGCTGGACTTTCTCCACCACGGGAGCCCTGGAGTCTGCTGTAGCCATTGCCAGCGGGAAGATGCTGTCTCTGGTAAGAAGTCAGATACAGGCTATTTCCTACAGACCACCACTGGGCCTGGGCCTTCAGGCTCATTCATAGTGTCCCAACCCTGAGGACATTTAGCCTGGGAATCTCAACTGACATGTTTCCCAAAAGGAATGAGAATGAAGAAATACCGCAAGGGCTCCTTCCTGAGTGGATGTGGGTGTCCAGTCCCTTCCTCAGTTTTTCAACCTGGTTCTTCACGAAGACCTCTGGACAGTACATACTGCCTGGGAGATACCCCTTCTAGGAGCTGAACCCTTTGCCCTACTTGATTATCTTCATGCAAGGAAGAAGTAGGGCCTGTGTGTCTATCCACTAATCCCCAAGAGAAGTGTGATACCTGTGAAGGAACTGTCCCACTGTGAATGGAAGTGGGGAAGTCAAGCGAGTTCAGCGTGGCCATGAGAGCCTAGGCTGAGGAGTTATTCAGCAGTGTCTATGGGCCTGACCCTCTCCCTCTAGCATACACTGTGAGACACATAGTTCATGCTGAGTACGCCTCTCCAGGACAAGTGCTCATTAGGAGGGCCTATTCACACCCTCTCACCTGCTTTGTAGCCAGGTCATTTCTGAGCCCCTCTCAACATGTGCCAGCTGCAAGAGAGTCACCCTGGGATATACAGAGATGGCCTTGTCCCTGGGGGACCTTACAGGGTCATTGCCACACAACACCAATTAGGTCACAAATATGGATGAGCTACTGAGAGCTGACACTTCACAGCAGCATTTGGCCTCTCAACTGTCTCCTCACGGGCTCTGCTTCTTCCTCTAGGCTGAGCAGCAGCTGGTGGACTGTGCCCAGAACTTCAACAATCACGGCTGCGAAGGGTATGTTCCGGAGCAGGAGAGTCAGCCCATTCTCTCTCTCATTTGCAGCCATCAGATTCAGCGGCTGCTATAGTAAAGAAATTCCATCCACCTCACAGGGAGAATTGAAGGGTCTCAGAGCTGGAAGGTTCAGGGTTGAATCCAGCCCCTTCCCAAGACATCACCCAGCCCCGTCCTCAGCATGGCCAGCCTCACTATTCACCAAAGCTTCTGGACAAATGGCCAAAAGATAGGGGGCAAACATACTGACCTCCAAACCCCAGGTTCTCCTGTGGAGAGCTGATTGGCCCTGAGACAAGTTCCCTGAAGCACAAGCTGCTCCAGCTCTCGAGAGCCTTGTGGCTTCATGGCCATCCTCTCAATAAGTCACTAACACCCATTTTCACAGTGCCATTAGCCCTCCACCTCTCCATGTGAGCTGACTCTAAGAGAGTTTTGTATTCTTTGTCAGGTTTCTGTGCATATAATATGCTTAAAATCCCTTGGGTCCCCTAGGACATATTCTCAGCCTTGACTTCCCTGTTAGGCCCAGCCTAACTCTCACTGCTACTCTGAGGGACATCCCACACACCATCTTCTACTCTGACCGCTGTGAATAGCAGGGTCCCTATATTCCAGCCCTAGTCCAGGGATGCAGGGCTATGGCTGCAGCCTCAGGAATCCACACGGGGCTTCGTTGCCCCTAACTTTTCATCTCTTTCCTCTGTACACCTTTGTACTGCCCATGGCAAAAGGCTGCCTCCTGGGCACACTGGAGTCCTACCGTCTTTGGAAGTCTGTTTGCTTTGGTTCACGCCATTACTTCCATTTTTCATTCAAGTACCGATTCCCACCATATCCCCTTGTGGACTTGGGCACAGGTGACCCAACAGACATCAAACCACACAGTTGAATCAGCCATGCACAAGCTAACACGGATCATAGGGAGAAGAGCAAGGGCTGGACAGACTGGGTTCTGCCAAGTGAGCTTGTTTGTTTGTTTGTTTGTTTTGTGGCAGGTAGGAAGATGGAAAGGATTGACCTTTAGAATCTTTGAGGTCTGAATTCAGATTGTCGCCTGAGCTTCAAGAAATAGTACTGCCTGGGGCTGACATGAGGGGTCAGACTGTGGAACACTGTCCATGGGGATACCTGGTGTAGTTGGTATTGTGGCGACAGTGATTCCTTCAGCCCTCGGAGGGGCTGCCCGCTTCTCCTGACAGGGGCCTTGCTTGCAGAGGTCTCTGCCCCAGAGGGGCACTTGTGGCTTGCACAGATTCCAGTGACTGAAACCAGAGAGTTCTGCACTGGAGTGTGCCCTACCAAGACCCAGTGATCCAGGCAAAAGCTCCAGCACTAAGGCAGATTCCTGTCTTTGGGGCCAGGCCCAGAAAGGCTCACATATGTGTCCTTCTTGCAGAGGTCTCCCCAGCCAGGCCTTCGAATACATCCTATACAACAAGGGCATCATGGGAGAGGACACCTACCCTTACAGAGGCAAGGTAACTGTGGGCAGCCTCAGTTGTGCCTCCGGTCATCTCCATTTCACCCTTACCCCCATTCACCATGCTGTCATTCAAATCTGGCCTCTTCCTGGTACTTGCCTGTGCCCTCTCCTCACTCCTGCCTCTGTGGTGCCATCTCTCTATCTGAATGTCCCTCTTCAGGGCCCTCCCACCGCAGCTCAGCTTGCCTTGTTCCTCCATGACTCCATTGGCCCCCCCTTATATCCCCACCCATCCAGAGTTTGGCCTCCTTTCATATAACTGGCCTCACTCTGGAGCTCTCTGACCAGCTTGGCCTGTATACCTACCTTGGTCCAAGTGATCCCTGCAGGTTCTAGGGTACACAGGAGGTGGCATGTTCATTAGCTCTATGCAGTGATGGGAAGTTGTCATCCTCTCTAGGAGGGGACATTTTGACCTTACAGTTGTTTTGAGGCCATTCATGTCCCTGTAAGTAAGCGAGACTCCTAGGATCTGCTTCCCTCCTCACAGGCCACTCTTTCCTGTTGTGCCCACAATTCCTAGCTCCCGGATTTCTGTCTGGTGACTTCATCTCTGTCCACCTCCGGTTGGCACTCTTCCCTGGACTGTCCCTCTAACCCTGCTACATAGGTTCCAATGTGGCTTGTCTTTCTCGGTTTCCTTCAGCTGGCTCAGGTCCTTCCTTGCATTCTGACCAAGTATTATGTGTGTCCCAGACAGCACATAACTGTCTCCTTGAGGACAAAAGTACTTCTGAGCCTCAATGGAGTGCTACTGTCAGCAAGATTCTAGTGCAGGCAGGCTGCTTGGAAAATGCTGTCAATCTTCACTGGGAGAGGGGGACCAAAAGCCTCAGGTTAAGCATCTCTATCTACATTCTCTTCCCTATGCTGCTCTGAACAGGATGGTCACTGCAAATTTGACCCCAAAAAAGCCATCGCGTTTGTCAAGGAAGTCGCCAACATCACACTCGTAAGTACTGGGTCCATTTCTAGTTAGGGAATGTGTTCTGATTATGGAAGCCACAAGAGCAGCTCTTCGTCACAGCTCATCACTGGCAGAAGGGTCTAGGTTACTTCCGACGCCTGCTCACCACGAAGGTTGTGTAATGGAAGATAGGAAGGGAATCATGGAGTGATAGGAGATACCCTGGGTTCTGAATTCCAAGTCTATAAGAGGTTTCTGTTCACTTGTCTAAAATGCAAGTGATAATCTCACTGTCTCATTAGAGGTTGGAGCATTCAGGTCAGCTTGTGAGAGGGGAGCCTGGACTCTCCTCAGTCAGGTCAGGCTTGCTTTTGCTGTAGCCCTCAAGGCTGAAGGGCATTTAGATGGGTCTGGGTGTCTCCTGTGGGGTTGGCTTCACTTCAGCACCCAGGCTGAGGGAGAAAGAGTGATAAACTTTACCCCTAATGAGCTATATCACACCTTGGGTCCATGGAGAAACACATTCAGTTTTCCTGGTGGGACATTAGTAGATGTCTGCTCCCCCCAGCTAGAGAACCAACAACAGACCAAAGTAATCACACTGCACCCAAGTCTAGCGTAGTGAACCCACGAGTTTTTGGGCTAACAGGGACATGAATGACCTCAAAAAACTGTATCATCAAAATGTCCCACCCCAGAGAGGATGACAACTTCCCATCACTGCAGAGATAGAGTTAATAAACATGCCACAGCCTGTGTGCCCTAGAACCTGCAAGGATCACATGAAGCTGGGGGAGAATTTTATATATCTTTTTCAGGGGCTCAGGAGGGAGCCTCAGTTGAGGGTCTATTAAGGGAACATCAGCAAGACAAGTCTTGTTGACTTTAATCACGGCTACTCTGATTAAGATCGGTGTCAGCTGTTAGACTTGAAGAACAGCATTCCATAGCACATAGTCATACCCTGCTTTTCCAAGGAACACGTGAGCATGCATGACTGCCCCCATGGCTCAGTAAACTCCATGATGCGTTCAGGTGAGGGAGGTGTGCTCACAAACAGATTCAGGTCACAAACATGTAGTTTGTATAATGATAGCAGCTGCCATCTAATTGAAGGGCATGCCAGGCTCTCCATAGTAATAACAGTTTGGAGTGGTTAGAGGTACTGTAGAACCAACTGACAGGCATTGTCTCCAAATGACCAAGGATATGGATGTGGTTATTACCTTCATTTGACAGATGAGAAAACCAAATCTCAAGGGAGCTAAATAATGTGCCCAGGAGCTAGGAGGTGGGGCTGGATTTGAACTGAGAAATGTCATTCCAGAACTGAGGTTGGCCACTTCAGCAACACAGTCCACACCCTGCAATCATTTCCTGAAAAGAACCTATTTTTAACTAGACTTCTGGGCCACCATGGTCTACTGCGAAATGAGCAAGGCACTCAAAGGTTATCTTTTTCCTAGTTCCCAGAAAGAATCTTGTCAGGAGCATCAGAAGAGCCCTGAATAGCAGGCCAGAACTCTCAGGATAAGGGACAGCTGTGGAAACAGTGCCAGCCACAGGGGTTCTGGCCCTTATGTGGGAAGGCCTCTGTGATCTCCTGGGCTCCCAAGACCTCTAGCCATATTCAGAAGGAACATCTTGCCTGAGAGAGGACACACTGAGTACTCAGTCTCCCCCTATCCTTTCTCTTCCCTTCTCTAAGCTCTGGCCTCCATCACTGACCCTCCCACTCCCAAGCATCTTGTTACTATAACTCCCTCTCAATTTTTCCCAACTGGGACATGGTAGGAACCACCCACCCAGCCTGGGAGGGAAGTGTTTGAAGTCTACCAGGCACTCCTGGCTGCTGTTCTCACCCCACCTCCAAGAAGCTACCAATGCTCCCTTCTGCCTTCCTTCCCTGACTGAAGTGATAGGCCCACGCCCTTAGCTGGTCTCCTTGTTTCCACCGTGTTACCTATCAGTGGATCTGTAAGATCTGTGTTCCACCACTCAAGTTCCCTAGATTGTTTTCCTCTGGGATGTGGAGTCTTGGGGGCAGAAGCAAGGGTGACACACTCATCTCTGCATCCTTCACAGTCCCTGGCCTCCATGGTCAGTCATGATAGAGTGAAGGATGACGGAGTTGTGTGTAAGGATGTGAGGGAGACAAATGAGGATTCCCAGACACTCAGAAAGTGAAGGCAAAGGCTGAAGCCACACGGGGAGCTAGTTTGGTTTCAGAGTCAGATAAAAAAAAAAAAAAAAAACCAAATAAGCCGTAAGTATAGCTTAGTCTTAGAGCACTTGCTCAGCATGCACAGATTTGATCCTTGGTGTTGACCCCAAACACAACAACAGAGGCCAGGCATGGTGGCATATATTAAGTTCAACGGTCAAGTTCTATCTCCATCACTGTTTGTTTTGATTTTTGAGACAATCTATTACATACTTCTGGCTGTCCTGGAACCCAATATGTAGAGCGGGATGGCCTCAAACTCACAGAGATTCACCTGCCTCTGCTTCCCAAGCATAAGGGTTAAAAGTGTGTACCAGTTTTAAAAGTCTTTTAAAAGATAAAATTTATCAGACCCAGTCTGTAATCCCAGCACTTGGGAGGTGGAGGCAGGTATATTGGGAATCCAAGGTTATCCTCAGTTACAAAACAAGTTCAAGGCCAGCCTGGACTACATAAGACCCTGTCTCAAAAGCTAACAAAAATCAACCCAACAGGTGCTGGCACTCTGCATAAGAAGGTGGGGCCTGTATCACTGCTGAGTGCCAGGGTCTATTGTTCCCATGGTCGCCTGCCTAGCTCTAGAACTCTAGCCCCTAACCTGAGGCAATGGACCATAAGTATGGTGGGGAAGTGGCAAAGGCCATGCAAGTCTGTCAACCTTTGTCTGTCCACAGAATGATGAGAAAGGAATGATGGAAGCTGTGGCATTACACAACCCTGTGAGCTTTGCCTTTGAGGTGACCGAGGATTTTATGTTGTATCAAAAAGGCATTTACTCCAGGTAAGCTGGGGACCTGGGAGTCAGAAGGGACGGTGCATAGCACAGAGTGGGCCCCCTCAGACCCAGCACAGTGCCTCCAGCTCGACCTATACTCTTAATTAGATTGTATTAATGAGACTTAGCATGTGTTCCCTCCATTAGTCTTCTTGCCTATGTGAGTGTGAGGAACCAAGTCTCTACCCTACAAAAGAGAGGTCACAAGGAATGGCACAGGTCAAGCTATTGTAGCCAATCATGACTAAGGCCAAAATCCATGCCCAGAGCTCAGCAGTCATCTACAGAGGGCTGAATCCAGTCAGGAAAACTAAGGTTCAAAAACATAGTCAAGTATTTGAAGGTGGGGTTGGAGATGTAGCCATTCGGTGAGTGCTTGTCTCAGAGTCATCCTCAGCTACATGGTGAGCTAAGGCTAGACTGGTATGCTTGAGACCCTGTCTTAAAAAAAAAAAAGAAAAAGAAAAAGAAAAAGACGGGATTTTGGAAAGGAAAAGTAGCTGTTCTCAAATACCAGAACCCTGTGCTGGAAGGTTCACTATCTGGTTCTTCAGGAAAGCCAGATTCCTTAGCACCCAGGACCTCATGGACAGTAGACAATCACTCTGGCTGAGCTACACCATGCTCCACTTAGCATGTCTAATGTGGGATTTCTTGTGCCCACACCCCATAGCCTGCCAATTTGGTGACAAGAATGAGTTCAGAAAGGAGTCCTTCTAGCCACTTCCTGCTCTCCAGGCTCCTTCATGCTCTCTGGTCTCTAGCCACCTCTAGAATGTTCATGTTCTTCTTCTGGGCTTTGCCCTCAGCCCTCTGTGCAGTTGTTAGAGCTGGAAATCCACAGCCAACTATTTGCTGAGAGTATCCATGGCCCACCAAGTGTCTTCCAAGTACTAGACCTACACTTAGATATGAGGGTCCCTTACCAGTTCAGCCTGGGTGGCCATGGAGACCTCTAACCTCCCACCCTAGTGCTCCGCAAAGGTTTCTGTGTCTGTTAAGAGACTCGCATCCCTGCTGCTGCTGCTGAGGGAGCAGCCACAATAGGCTGCTCATTGCCCTCTCCTACATCATCATCTTCTCTGATGCCTCCTCTTTGGCTTCTTCTAAATATCCCTCTCCCCTACAATAAACAGACCCTGGCCCATCCTCCATTTGGACCCAGGGTCCTTCTGAAGTACTTTCCTGGCCATGAAAACGTGTGTAAGGGGATGTGTATATATTTATTTATTCATGTGAGTATGTATGCATGAGAAGAGCAGAAGTCAACCTACCTGTGAAGGTGCATGTTCACACTTATGTGCATGCATGTGGAGGCCAGATGTCAACCTAAGGCATCTTCCCCAGTCACACTTATGTTTTTGAGACAAGGTCTCTCACTAGACCTAGAGCTCAGTGATTCTGCTAGAACACCTGGCTAATGAGCTCCAGGAATCCTGTCTGTCTCCACCTCCCACACTGGGATTACAAAAGTAAGATGGCTTTTTACATGCATGCTGGGAATCCGAACTCAGATCCTCCTCAAGACTTGTGTGGCAAGCACCTTTACTGGCTGAGCCATCTCCCTAGCCCTAGGATGACTAGGGTATAAATACCCAAGGCTCCTGTTGCCCAAGGCTTGGCTATGGGACCTTAGTAATTTGCTCCCCTCTTTCTCTGCACGCATCTGCCATCCCTTCTTGTCTCTTCTCATTCCAGCCACTTGGAAGAGCTTATAGCTTCATGTATATCTCCTGCTCCTCAAGGACGATTCTTCATTTTCTATCCCCCTGGATCAGATCCCACTCCCTGGGTTCCTGTCCCCTACCTCACCAGCACATCCCTCAGACCATTGCAGGGCAGCCTCTTTGACCAACTGCCCTCTGACAAACAAAGATTTCTAAGCAAAGTGGATCCTACTGCCTGTACCTGACACAATGGTGACAGCTGGATGTCCATTTAATTTCCATGTGCCTTGGGGAATTTTTTGTTTTGTCTGTTTCTCTGTAGCTCTATCTGTCCTGGAACTCACAGAGATCCACCTGCCTCTGCCTCCAGAGTACTGGGATTAAAGGTGTATACCTTTTTTCCATGTCCATTGAATCAACATGTGGCCACCATAGTTTGTCCTGTTGAAGTCATGGAATTTCTCATGGAGGCTAAATGGCAAGCCTACATATTATTCATAAGCATAAGTTAGTTTTTTAGAAGGAACACAGAGACAACAGAGCAGTGGGTCGAGCTCTAGCTGGGCACTATTGCCTGCAGAAGTGTGGCAGGGGCTACTCTTCTTGTTGGGATTGAGAGGTGTCCACTGTGGAGCATGGCCAGTACTGTGTGGAGACGACAGGGGCAGGACTTAGAACTGAGGAGACTATGGTTGAGCCATAGTTGATTGACACCCAACACACCACCCTCCCTCTAATGGGAAGCATCCCTGTACATCACCGTTGTCTGTGACAGTCTTGGCCTTTATCCTTCCTATACTACAAACCTTTGTAAATTTTATTTTCATTTGCAGTAATTCATGTCATAAAACTCCAGATAAGGTAAACCATGCAGTCCTGGCTGTTGGCTATGGAGAGAAGGATGGAATACTCTACTGGATCGTGAAAAACTCTTGGGGCACCCAGTGGGGGGATAAAGGGTAAGTAGCCTGTAGGTCCCACTGCTGGGGCACATGTTGCTCAGGTCTAGAGGCACCCCCTGAGTGTGAGGCATCTCTACCTCAAAATCACAGCTTCTAAGGAGTTGGACAGCAAGTCCTAGCCAGGCCAGGGAAAGGGGGACACGAGAATAGAAACTTCACATGCCAAGGCCCTGTAAGAAAGACCACTCCTAGGATCCTAGGTCTGAACAAGTCTTCTGCAGGGGATAGGAGACCAATTGACTTAATGGAGGTCTATAATGGACAGTTGGAAACAGCCAAACCTCAGCATCTTACTGGAACAAAACTAACCTCTGGAAGGGTCTGAGAAATGCAAGCAATGAACTTGCTACACTAAGTGACAGCACCTCCTTTGAATCAGGACAGACATAAAAACAGACACACACACACACACACACACACACACACACACCTGAAAAGTAGAGTGTTTATTGTTAAGAGGTCCGAATGATTAGGTAGCTATGTGAGGATCTGGACAGAGAGGCAAGAAGGGAGCCTCCATCAATTCTGGGAAGAAGTAGTATATGCAAAGAGAAAAAGGAAGAAAGTGAGGCCAGTCATTTCCTGCTGATAAAATAAGCCCATGGTAGTTCTATGAATAAATTCAGAGGGCCTAATTCCTGGAGGTATGTCTTGGTTTGCAGAACATTCTAGAAAGTCCTTTCTCTTTGCCCAGGTACTTCCTTATTGAACGTGGAAAGAACATGTGTGGCCTGGCTGCCTGTGCCTCCTACCCCATTCCTCAGGTATAAGCCAAGGCTGCAAAGGCAGCTGGTAGGCAAAGTGAGGAACCAGCCCTTCAATGGAAATCCTGCCCTGGAGGACATTGTGGGGAAATTCACCCAGAGTTCCCCTCAGCCCTGCACTGAGCCTAGAAGAAAAGAACAAAGACTTGTAAGTGAGGAAGAAGAACTTCACCAGCCATCACCAGCCACATTCCTTGACTGTGGTTTTGAACTGACTCCAACCCCCATGGCCGAGGATCTCTCCTTCCAGCTCTCCTCACTTAGAGAACAGTGGCCTTCTCTGTGTTGTGTGTTCAATAAATGCAATGAACTCCTCCCTGGGTGGGGCCTTGGCCTCTAGCTGACATTCCATTCCATCTCCTGGGAGGGTTGGGAGTATGTTAGGGGTGCTGGTGGCAATGCCAGCCAGATGGAGATCGAAGGAGGAGAAGCAGGTTTAGAGATTCTGCTTTCCCAAATCCCAGGAGGAAAAATAGAGGAAATGAGCCAGGATATGGCAGAGCCAGGGCATCCCTTACAGATAAAATTAAAGAAGCTGGCTAGTTTTTAATCATATAAAATTTTAGTAAATTCAGGAAAAAGAGAACTATATTAACAGCAAAATGTTGTCTAGAAATAACTGCCCAAAGTGCTATATGAAGAAAAATATTAAATCATGAAAAACCTGCCAGGTGCAGTGACATAACTCTTTAAACCCAGCACTTAAAAAGACGGAGACAATTCACTCTTGAGTTTGAGACCAGCAAGTTCCAGGCCAGCCAACCAAAGCTACAGAGTGAGACCTTGTCTCGATACACCAACTGAAAGACCCCCACTATGCTTATTGCCTGTTTAAATTGCTCTTGCTAATTTGCCAAGGTCAAGTTATGAGAAAAGTACAGGAGGGAACCAGGTGCTGCTCTCATCCAACGCCAACCAGATATCTGTGGTCTGCAGCTTGGACCAAAGCAAGGTCAGCAGGACAGTGTCCAGTATGCTGAGATAGTCATAACTGAATTCTTTGTATTCTTTGTGCCCAACCCGAATAACCAACTGTCCTTGGTTAACTACAACTGCAACATTTAGATGAAACAATGAAATCCCTGTAACCATGCTTCTGCTTCTGTAAGCCTGCTTCTTGCCACCCCAACCCTATATAAACTGCCTGAGTTTTAACCTCAGCACGCTCAGTCCCCCGAAAGACTGAAGCGTCCACAGGTACCTGTGTAAACAATAAACAACCTCTTGCACTTGCATCCAGTGGTCTGGTCTCGTCTCTTGGGGGCAAGGGCCTTCCCCCTGACAGGCTCCAAACTCTTGGGGTCTCTGGGGGTCTTTCATTGGAGGTCCCACCGAGATTGGAGACCCTTCCCCCTAGAGACTGACACTGACACCCACCGGGAGGTAAGCTGGCCAGCGCTTAATTTCTGTTCTTTGTTGTCTTGTTCATATGTCTTTTACTTGTTGCTTGTTGCGCAGCGATCGGTAATCGGCTAGGCTAGTCGAGTCTGTAGGCGGCTTGAGAAGGAGCTGACGAGCTCGGACTTCTACCCGCCACCCTGGGAGACGTCTCAGGGATCTGGGGCGCCCGATTTTTCGGGGCCCACAACGAGTCCCAGGGATTCGTGGTTTTGGGGGGGCCAGGGGGCTTAAGATCCTCTGTGCCTCCAACTCAGTATCTGGTTTCGGTTTTACGGCCGAAAACGCGCAGCGTGTCTTTGTGCCGGCTGTCTATGTGTTTTGTCTGTTCTGTTTATCTGTCTGATTCTTTATTTCGAAGAAAATATGAAACAATCTTTAACCACCCCCTTAAGTTTATTTTAGATCATTGATGATGTACAGAGCCCAGCTCACAATCAGTTGGTTAAAGGAAAAAAAAAAACTGTGTCGGACTCCCCGGTAGCCAGCTGACTCTGAGATCAAAGGGAGCCAGCCACCGAAGGAACCTGCTGAGCCTTTCCCCTGCACCAGGCTGCTGGATTAGGAGGCCAATTTCAATTTCAATACTGGTCTTTCTCGGCGTCCAACCTTTATAATTGAAAAATCTAACAACCCCTCCTTCTCCAAAAACCCTGTAGCTCTCTAACCTACTTGAATATGGCTTTTGCAGGTTCTCCTAACCTTGGGGGGGGGGGAAACAACGCATCTTCCTGGGAGAAACGTCTTATTTGGCAACTCAGTTGCCAAATAAAATTGAGGAAATTTTTCCCCTAAATCGTCCCTGCTGGGACTTTAACACCTACGTCTTTATCGCCAGTTACTCACAGCGGGTCTCCGCAGGCCTGGGACGCTGTCCCAGGAATTTGGCTGAGGTAAGACAGATAACCCAGGGACCGGAGGAAACTCCGACTGCATTTTTGGAGAGGCTAAAGGAAGCCTACCGTATGTATACACCCTTTGATCCTGATAGTAACGAGCAAAGGGGCAATGTTTCTATGGCTTTCATTTGGCAGTCGGCTCCAGATATTAGGACTAAGTTGCAGAGATTAGATAATTTACAAGATTATAGCCTGCAGGATCTGGTAAAGGAAGCAGAAAAGATCTTTAATAAGAGAGAAACACCTGAGAAAAAAAAAAAAAGACTTAAAAAGTTGCAGGAAGAAAGAGAGGACAAGTTTAAAAAGGAGCTAGAGGGAGAGAGAGAGGAAAAAAAAAAAAAAAAAAAAAAGAGAGAGAGAGAGAGAGAGGGATCATAGGAACTGGAGAGAATTAAGCAAAATTCTGGCCACTGTAGCTCAGAATAATCATAGTGCAGGAAGTCAGAAAAGGAAAAAAAAAAAAAAGGAGGCCCAGGGTAGATTGAGACCAGTGTGCCTACTGCAAAGAAAAAGGCCATTGGGTCAAAGATTGCCCTAAGAGACCTAAAACTCAGAGGCGTGGAGACGGACTCCCAAGACCAACTCAGCTTCTAGCCCTAGATGAAGACTAGGGCAGTCGGGGCCAGGAGCCCCCCCCTGAGCCCAGGCTAACCTTAAAAGTCGGGGGGGAGGGGCAGCTAGTCACCTTCCTGGTGGACACTGGAGCCCAACATTCAGTTCTCACTGAAACGAACGGGCCATTGAGTACCAAAACAGCTTGGGTACAAGGAGCCACCGGAGAAAAACAATACCGATGGACCACGGAGAGAAAAGTTCATCTCGCATCAGGTAAAGTCTCACATTCCTTTTTGCATGTACCGGACTGTTCATATCCATTACTGGGTCGAGATCTACTGACTAAATTAAAAGCCCAGATCCATTTTGAAGGACCAGGAGCTAAAGTCTCTGGCCCACAAGGGGCTCCACTTGAAATATTGACTTTACAATTAAAAAATAAATATAGACTTTTTAAAAAGCCTCCTGAACAGCAGGAAGGAATGGACTTATGGTTAAAACAACACCCCCTGGCCTGGGCAGAAACAGGGGGCATGGGCTGGCCATACAACAGCCACCCCTAATAATAACCCTGAACCCAGCCACCTTGTTACCACTGCTGGAGGAACCAGCCTCCCATGACTGTCAGCAGATCCTTGCAGAGATGCATGGAATGTGGCCTGATCTGACCGATCAGCCCTTGAAAGATGCAGACTACACCTGGTTCACAGATGGCAGCAGCTACTTGCTAAATGGTGAGAGACAGGAAGGGGCTGCAGAGGTCATATGGGCCACTGCACTCCCAGGAGGCACCTCTGCTCAGCAAGCTGAACCCTTTGCTCTGACTCAGGCTCTCCAGATGGCAACAGGTAAGAAGCTTAATGTGTACACTGATAGCCGGTATGCCTTTGCCACTGCCCATGTCCATGGAGAAATTTATCGGAGAAGGGGCCTTTTAACATCAGAAGGCAAAGAAATCAAAAATAAAAATAAAATCTTGACATTATTAAAGGCCCTGTTCCTTCCTAAAAAATTGAGCATAATGCATTGCCCTGGACATCAAAAGGGGGAAAGCCTGGAGGCAAAAGGAAATCGCCTGGCTGATGAAGCAGCCAAACAAGCAGCCTTAAGCCCCCAACTATTGACTATTAGCATATTGACTGAAAAGGAAACAGCTAAGACTCCAGATTGGGACTATGATGAAACGGATTTGGACATTGTTCAGAAACTAGGTGCAGATTATGACCCCAATCGGCAATGCTGGGTCTACCAAGGAAAGACTATACTGCCTATAAAAATGGCAAAAATGTTAATAGACCACCTCCATAAACTGACTCATCTAAGTGCCAAAAAGATGAAAACTTTGCTAGATAAACAAGAAATTGGAACTTACCTTCCCAATCGGAATTTATTACTGGAACAAGTAACTGCTAACTGTCTGGCCTGTGCCCAGATAAACCAAGGAAAACCAAACTGAATTCTGGGACCCGGCTTTGTGGCCATAGGCCTGATGTCCATTGAGAAATAGACTTTACTGAAGTCAAACCTGGAATATATGGTTATAAATATTTACTGGTTTTTATAGACACCTTTTCAGGATGGGTAAAAGCGTTTCCTACCAAACATGAGACTGCAAAAATGGTCACCAAGAAACTATTGGAAGAAATCTTTCCCAGATATGGGATGCCACAGGTAATAGGATCAGACAATGGGCCTGCCTTCGTCTCCCAGGTAAGTCAGCTGGTGGCCAGGTTGCTGGGGATAAATTGAAAATTACATTGTGCTTACAGACCCCAGAGTTCAGGACAGGTAGAAAAAATAAATAAAACCATTAAGGAGGCTTTATCCAAATTAACGCTTGAAACTGGCTTTAAGGACTGGGTACAACTCCTATCTCTGGCTCTCTATTGGGCCAGAAACACTCCAGGCCCTCATGGCCTAACTCCCTTTGAAATCCTATATGACAGTCCACCACCAGCTGTATCATTCTTTGATGCTGACATTTCTGATTTTGCAAACACCCCTTCCATACAGGTGCATCTATGAGCCTTATAGATAGTCCAAGAAGAGGTCTGGAAACCTCTGGCGGCCGCATCCCGGGAGGAACAAAGAACCTCTTGTCAGCCCCACTCTTTCCAGATTGGCGATTCCATCTGGGTTCGGAGACATCAGACTAAGAACTTAGAGCCCCACTAGAAGGGCCCCTACACTGTGCTCCTGACAACTCCCACCGCCCTGAAAGTAGACAGGATTGCTGCCTGGATGCATTTTAAATAGACTGGTACTGTTCAAAAATACACACACACACTTGTCAGTTGTTCAGGCCCTAGTTTTGAGCCAGCAGTACCAGCAATTAAAACAAATGAAAACTGAAAAACCATGAATAAAGGGTTTTATTCATTTTATAGAAAAAGGGGGGGAATGAAAGACCCCCACTATGCTTATTGCCTGTTTAAATTGCTCTTGCTAATTTGCCAAGGTCAAGTTATG